CAAACAAGTTGGACGGAACCCATTTTGGATCCAGCTGTCGTTCTATCTACTAGATACATTACAAAGCCAGAACTAAGTGAAGTTGAAAATCCAGAAAGTGTAATGTTATGTTGTGAAAAAAGTGATTGTGAACTTGTGAAATCGGACCATCCCAAGTGTACCAGCTGGTTTTTTAATTCAGAGCACTATGGAGAACAGGGTGACTTGGCTGACAGCAGCATTCTCTTCCATTGTTCTGATCAAGTGGAAGAGGAGAACCAGATTGATGCACAGGAGCTTAAGCCACCTGACCAAGAAATAGAAATGGATAAAAATGTCATACTAGAAGAAGAAAAGCAAGCAATACCAGAATTTTTTGTGGGACGTCAGGCCAAAACTCCTGAGCGCTACTTGAAAATTAGGAACTACATTTTAGATCAGTGGTAAGCATTTTTGGGAAAATATTCAATAATATTTTCAGTTTGAAAAAATATTTGGTAATCAGTATATGCACAGCAAGTGTATTAATGTTTGATCAAGTGTAAAAGAAGTATAGCAGTCTAGATCAGTTATGATAAACTTCTTTATTGATATTTGATTATAACATTGCCCTGGAGTAGTTTTAGTAGGGGCAGGCACCACCTGGCATAAAATGGTACTTTGCCATATATTTTGGCCTGGTCATGCCCAATACTGCTTTTGACCCAAGTAGAGAGAAAAAAGAGAGGCCATTACTCAGTTGGAGAGTATCTCTTTGACATGCAGAAGGTCCCAGGTTCAATTCCTGGAATTTCCAGTTTTAAAAGGACCAGATAGTAGGTGATATGAATGCACCTGAGTCTTCAGACAACAGCTGACAGTCAGCATAGACAGTACTGAGCTGGATGGTCCAGTGGTCTTGCTCAGTGTAAGACAGCTTAATGTATGAGACCGCTTTCTCTCCTCACAGCTCTTCATGTATGAGTGAGTTGGTGGCCTGGATTTAGCCTGGAGACTACTGGTTAATTACCCCGTTAACTATCATTAGTAACACAGCATGAAAAATACTGTCAGTGCTCCAATGTAAGACCGGGATCAGCACAATAGACAAGCAAAGAGTATGTCGTGCTTTATGTATATTTTTGGATAGGGACTGAGCTTACCATTCCCTTGCCTGATGCCCAGGAAATCAAAGAGATTTAGCAAGTTTATAGAATAATAGCTTATAGAGTCTTTTGAGTAATGTGAGGAATCTGGTTGAATGAAACTCACGGTTTATTAATTTCTGATGTGCTGTGTTCGTCTAGGCATCTTGAGATGGCTTTGAATGTTACACAGAAGTAGGGGAATAACAAGTGACTTATGTTTATTCCTTTTGCATTTGTATAACATCTGAAGTCAGATTTCGTGTATTTTCCTGTCCAAGAGATGTTTTTGGTGGCACATTGATATACTATCACATATCTTTCTGCTGGAGAAATGCTTGAGTTCTTCCCGAGGATGTTACACAGGAAATACAAGCCATGTGTTTTCTCTCCTCCACTTCTAGCAAGAAAATCTTCCCTGTACTTTTAGGCATACACACAAAGGTAGTGGGGGAAAGTGATTGGGGAAAAATGGACTCTCTTTATAAAGAAGTTAGGATACACCATCTGTCCTCTTCCTGGGACTTTCCAATGGGTTCTGACCACTTGCTGATAAATTGTGGGTTGAATTGGCAAAGGTTGCTTTTCATCCTATCTCTTGGATTATTTTCCCTTCCATTGAAGAGGACCACTTGCATTTGTTCAACAATGAAAGGCAAAAGTGCTCGAAAAGTTACATTGTCCATGTCACGGGACTGAAGATTGGCCACTGCATTCTTTAAAATTGTGTTTGCCCATATGTCTGAACCACAAGCAAAGGTTTATGCCTTTTTCCTGCAAACCAGGATTCTAAACAGTGGTTTAATTCTGGGTGGCGAGGAAGACACATCATAGTTTGCCAGTTCAGATGTAAACAAACAAGGATTGTTGTGAACCTTTCTAATCACTGTCAAATGAATGAAGGAGAAGTGAATGTGAGAGCCTGAGAATTTCTCAGGCTCTTCGATGTAGTAGCAAGCCATTGTTTATTATTACATCTTAAGCATGCCCTTGCCTTAGCTCTTCTGAGGTTAATGGACCTGAAATTGCTTATGTAGTTCGTAGATTATTTTGAAAATGTACCCTAAATAATAGGCTGTGATATATAACTTAACATACTGGCTAATCTCACTGTGTGGCATTTAATTCCCAGTTTGTCACTTTAGAATGTTTTATATGCATAAGCATTTTTTAAGAACATTCAACCTGAATCAGAAAATAATTGCTGATCAATTGGTTTATTTGTGTTGCGCTCTCATAGCATTGGGGGGGGGGAATCTGCAGAGCTAGCAAAACAAATTTTAATAAGTGCATAAAAAGGCAAATCTGGGCAATAAATTCTAAATCATGAGATTTTGTAGTCTAATGAATGAGTCCGAAATATAATTAATTTATAACAGTAGATGCAACTGCGTTGTGCATATCGTGTGTAAAGGTACTTCTGTTTTTTATTATAATAGCATGAGCAAATTTAACCATCCAGTTAAGGCATCATTTACATGTTTAACTTTTTATTTGTTGTGTTCTAATTATAGGAGAAAGAATCAAACCAAAATACCTGAACAAAACTTCAGTACGCCCAGGACTGAAGAACTGTGGTGATGTAAACTGCATAGGCCGAATACACACATACTTGGAATTAATAGGAGCAATTAACTTTGGCTGTGGTAAGAAGGCAGCTGTAATCTGTTCAAATATTTACTATATTTGTACCTCACTTTTTGGGTAAGAGCCTTTAAAATAACTCGCACAGTGGACATGTCACTATATATCATCTTAACAGTTTTAAAATTCAGCCATAATGGGCTCAAAGGATGAGAGCATGGGGCTAGTGGGTGGGGAAGAATTTTAAATTTCTGACTTGAAAAAGGGGAGGCTGACTCTTGTGGTGATGGGCTAATGTCATTTCCGTTCATATGGAGCAGAGTAGTGAGACTATCTTTGTCTGCCATTTTGTTCTATTTATACCCAGTGCCAGTCTAGGTGTACCAGATACAAAAACGTGTGTGTGTTTAAAACAACCGTGTGTGTTTATACCAGATGCAGTCCATTGAAATGAATGGGCTTAGATTGAAGTAACTTTACATAGTATTGCATCCCCTTTGTTTCCTCACACGAGACACAGATTATGATGATGGTGATGGTTTATTTTTCTCCCATCCCTCTTTCAAAGAGCTCAGGATAGAGAATGTAATTTTTCTTCCTGTGCTTTATCCTCACAACAACCCTGTGAAGGAGATTAGGTTGAAAGTGTGCGACTGTCAGTACAATCTATCCCAGTACATCTCATTCAGCACCACTATATAAGTAGCTCACTGATATGGCTGTGGTTTTGTGCTAGATAAAGGTACAAGAGATTTCTAAGTCATTTACTTACTAAATATTACTGTAATATGCAGTTTTTTATCTAGAGCACACTTAATTGAATGTAAGAAGTAAAACTAGACACATGGCTATAGACTAAAACATAAGTGTTAAAGATAAGTTCCTGTTTGAACTTTTTTCCTGAAAATCCAACCACCTGTTTTACATAATATGTGCCTAGTTGAAATTCTGGGTGAAGAAATGAATCCACGTGTTTCTTTATGTTTTAAAAACTAGTTTTCTTAGTGGTTTCTGAGTCCGTGGGAATTAATGAGGGTTTTTTGAGTGGGTTTTCTATTGAACTGAGTGAAAATTTAAATATGCTGAAGTATAGTCTAGCAGATGGTATGATAGTCTAGATGTTGTTGTTCCATAAAATGTTTACTTGTTACTTTCTTCTGTTTCTTCCCCTGTTCTCCTTCAGGTTGTCCTTTTCCCCCCTACTATCTTCCTCTCTATAGCCTTTAAGCATTCCAAGAGACTGAATACTTTGTGATAGTGTAAGAGACCCTATACTTAGAACGATATAATCCATAACATTGGATTTCCTCATAAATGGCATGAGGAACTTTCCAAAACTTTCCTCATGAATGGCATATGAAAGTCATAAGAAGAAACAAAGTTGTCCAAACAAAATGGGAGGGAAATATTTTTGTCCACCTAAAAGTTGGCCTAATGTCCCTTTTTATCCCTGTCATTTAGAATTCAGTACATTTGTTGGTGTATATGAGAGTAAAGTTACCATTTTGCTTTGGTCTGAATGAGCTGCAGACAGAATTGTCAGACTTCATTTGTGCATTTTTCTAGAGCAAGCTGTGTATAACAGACCACAGTCAGCTGACAAAATACGACCCAAAGAAGGCAAGGACACTATGGAAGCATATCAGCTTGTGCAACGGCTACAGTCTATGGTAAGGTATAAACATCAGAGGATACAATCCTAAAAGTATCACTTTTCTCTTTAAATAAAATATTTCCTCCATTGTAGTTTTTTCATTCTTGCACAAGTTCCTTTGCTTTATGGCTTACTCTAGCAACAGCTTATTATTGATCAGAGGACAAATGAAAGAGAAAGATATGCTTTAAAGACCTTTCTAGACTAAATGTTTTGAAATTCTACACATTCAGTAGCACTGGTTTTGTGCAGGAATTAATGAATGTTTGTTTCTAGGAAAAATGTTTGCCAAACACATAAAACTTTTAAACTCAGTGAATTCCCATGGGTGGGGCCCCACTGCAGATTAACGAATGTTCCTGTGAAAAATAAAAAGTACGTTAAAATGACCCAAATTAAAAGGTCTGTGTAGAGAGAAGTGGGGAGTGGATTTTAGTTGTCAAAAAGACCCCAAATGATGCTCCAGATATGGATGGGATAACATAGAGGTGGGTTACAGGAAGCAGGAGCTGTGAGGAGGTATGAAGTAGAGAAAAGAACACTCGGGATGAGGAGGGCCCAAAAGGAGATGGGAAGCAAGTGGCCAATGAAAGTAGCCAGTGGGAAGGAAAAAATGGGAGGGCAAACTGATAAAGGGGGGGGGTAAAAATTAGCAGATGGGGAAGGGAGAAAAAATATAGTGTGAGGAAGAAGCAAAGAAGGTCATGTGAATAGAACTATAGCAAGAGAGCTGGTATTGGTGGTGGAAATGCCATTTTCCTTCCTGTTTTCCTTTGGGATGAAAGAATGTTGTGCATACTTTTGCCCTAAGCTACCCCCAGTGAGCTGGCCCTCATGCTCTTCAGTGGTGGCTTGGGGCTGATTAATGCTTCTTGTGGGCTCTTGGCCCCAAGCCACCACTGATCACAGCTAGAACACAGAAGCAAAGAGGGGAAATGTTTCCCTTCACCTGCTAGTTCTTTTGGGTCACCTTCATTTAAAACTGAAGAACTAAACAGGGAAGAAATGTGCAAACAAGGCATGTGTCTGTCTGTTCTAAGTCTGTCATTTAGAATGATTTAGTGTGTACTTCTAAATCTAGTTAAGATTCCATTAATCTTCATTGCTGTACCTTTTAAGAAATCTTGAAATTCTTACTACTATATGTACTTTCCTTCCTTGAGAGATTGCCAGTTGATAAACAGAAACAAAGCACTGGATTCTTTCTAGAGACTAAATTGGATCACTGGGGTCTGGTGGCAAGCGGCTCTACGGCTTGTGGCTGTTTTAGGGCTGATTTATGTCATTTCAGTTTATAATTATATGATGATGTAGGTTGCTCATCACAAGATACAAGTGGCTGGTGATTTACTTCAGTACATTTAAAAAGTGAATTTAGTCAACCTGGGATCTTATTTACAAAATCACATGATATTCTGGGTCTGTCACTATTACCCAAATGGACCACATGTGTATAGTCCTCAAAGTTTGGCGTGTTCCCCTTACATTGCATACATCTGCATTCTAGGGCAAAATTGTATTGAGGGACCCCTGCATTTGGGTAGCACTTCACTAAGGTAATGGGGAGATTCCCAGAAATAAAAAGCTGAAGATGTTTATTTATTTATTTATTTATTTCCATTTTTATCACGCCCTCCCCGCGGACAGGCTCAGGGTGGCTCACATTCATCGGTACAAAGTACCATAAATCCACATAAAACACATAAAAACAGTTAAAACATTTTTTAAACATTTAAAATAATCAAAGTGCTAAACAATAATCAAAATTCAAATCTTTATTTGGAGAATAGGTGCATAGGAAAGCAGGAGGCACACAGAAAATCGTATGCTCAGCAAACAGGAGTGTACACACACACACACACAGAGTAAACCCTAACACCTGGATAACTTCTAGCAGTATAATAGTTACAAAAGGGAACAAGAGAAGGTGGCAAATGAAAGGATACAAGCCTGTCCTCAAGAAGGTGGGAGTCCTGGAGGGTCCAGTGGAAGGAAGAAAAGGGACACACAGCAATGCTGCATGATAGTCGATTGCAGCAAAGATTACAATGGAGGAAAGTGGTGCAGAGACTGAGACTGGCTTTAAGCCTCTGAAGGTCCTGTGAGGTCATGGGCAGAAGGTGGATGATCTAAAAAAACTGCTGCAAAATATTGAGGGCATTCGGAACTATATTTATGCAGTGAAGATACTGGCAGTGGGGTAGCCAGTGTGCTCCTGAGCCAGGTTTGAGTTGGAGCCAAAAAGTTTGAATTATGTTGGTGAATTTGGATTCTACTGCTGGTTGGGAAAATTAGGTATAGCAAAGTGGTACGTTAGCAGGGAAAAAGTTATATGACTGGATACTTGATGGATCAGAGAGTGGACAAGGGACCAGGAGTGTCAGATTAGCTGTGTCCAGGGGATAAGTGCGATTGCCAGCTGGATCCTTCTATGCATTATGCTTTGTTGGTTTTAATTACTGAGGCATTGCTGGAATTTTAGGTGGCAAGGGACTGATTTAATTACCTTCAAGTAGACCCATTTAGGCTGCTTCCTGTTTGTCATGCTAGAAGTGCATTTGAGCTGTGTGGAATTTTATTGGAACCCTGTCTTAATTTTGCAATGTGCAATATGAACCTCAAGGGAGTTCGAAGTAGGAAATAAGCACAAAGCTGAATTTGGGGGCTCCCTTAGCAGGGCTCTCTCTGTATCTCACCAAGTCTACAGTGGTTGTGTGTATTGCTCCTGCATGTAAAAATATATCGAGCGCTCTTTGAGTACTTAATGTTAGTGTATTTATGCTTGCTACAGCGTACAAGGAGACGGCGAGTCAGAGACCCTTGGGGAAACTGGTGTGATGCCAGAGATTTGGAAGGACAGACGTTTGAGGTAATGTGACTTCAAATTACTATGATACTTACTGAAAATTTCATAAAGTTTATTTCTGCTTAATGCTTCATGCATGTTTTTGGTGTTTAGAATATTCTGTTCAGGCCAAAACACATTCTGTGCAAAGTAAATTTAATTTATGCTTAGAATAAACTATGTAAATAAATGCTGGTTGTGCAAAAGACTAATTCTGCATAATGTTGAGTATGCATACTCCATGCTTTGTTGTGCTCTTGTGCCTTAAAATGCATCACTATTACTGGAAAATCATGTATGTTTTCATTAAAATCATTTAATACTTTTATTCTGGTTATTTTCATTTGATTTAAGCTTAGCTGAATTCTACAGATCAAGGTTTCAAAAAGGCTTGTTATCAAGAAGGCAGGAGTTAATACATGCATTTGTCATGTGAAAGACTTTATGTACTTCCTTTGTATGATTTCAGTTGTGGCACTAAAATATTTAACATGGGGACAGTGATGGTGAATATATTATATGATAGAGTATAGGAAGGCACTGGTGTAACTGAAGTGCTATAGATAGTGCCATGCAATGCTCCCTCTAAGCTATGGAATCCTGTGAGCAAAAAATTCTACTTTGTGAGCTACTGTCATTAAAGTTGTGAGTGAGCGATTTGGCTACTGCATTAGTTTGCGCTGGAGCCATCCTTCCTGAGCTAAGACAAAAATATGTGAGCCAGAGGCTAAAAAACTGAGCTAGTTCACACTAACTCAGAGGGAACACTGGTGCCATGTTATATTTTATATAAATCATACATCTTATCACTCAGTTTCTGGCAGCCACTGTTATATTTGCATGTATACTTAGTACTATTTGTTCTTCAGCACTGTTTAACTTAATAGTTAATGGTCAAAACAGTTGTGTTAGACCTTCATGTTTTGAACCAGCAGCATACCACTTATTGCCAGATGGCTTATTACCACTTTGTGCTGTTTGTGAGCTTACCTAGAGCATTACCTTTTGGTCTTGTTTAGCATGGCTATTCTTAATATTCTTAGCAGAAGCTCAGGGCACTAACTAGGGAAGCAGGACTCGACTGAACTGACCAACAAATGTCATTTTTGGAGGGTGGCAATGGTGTGCTTTTCTGACATTTTTAGAAATAGTCACTGAATAGTCAATGGGAAAACAAAGGGAGGTTTTCTAACAGATGAGACTTGTTCTTGTTCACTCGGGGGTCAAAGTGCATTCCTTCAAGTTACCATGCACCTGGCACAGTCCTATTGTAATAATGACCCCCTATTTAATCATGACAGTCGTTACATCCAACCCAGTTCAGTGTGTTTATGCCCATTGATCTAATTGAGCTGAAATGTGTTTAAATGACTGTTGGATTGTAGTCTCAATGTTTTGATCAATTTGCCTAATCAAGTTTTCCCTTTTAGCATCTCTCTGCTGAGGAGTTAGCTAAGAGGCGTGATGAAAAACATAAACCACCCAAAACATCTAAAGGACTAAGACACAGCAAAAGGTTTACATTTTTAAATGTATCTATGATACGTTGGAAGTGGTGCTTAAGTAATTTCTGTGACTTCGTGCAAGAATGTTGTTTCTCAAAATTATATATGCTGTAAATGTTGATTAGCCTGGATATAGATAGCTCAGGCTAGCCTGATCTCATCACATCTCAGAAGCAAAGTACATAAGAACATAAGAGACGCCAATGTTGGATCAGGCCAAAGGCCCATCCAGTCCAACACTCTGTGTCACACAGTGGCCAGAAATACCAGTGCCATCAGGAGGTCCAGCAGTGGGGCCAGGACATTAGAAGCCCTCCCACTGTTGACCCCCCCAAGCACCAAGAAGACAGAGCATCACTTGCCCCAGAGCCCCTAGCTATACCTTGTGGCTAATAGCCACTGATGGACCTCTGCTCCATATGCTTATCTATTAAAGTAGGGTTGACCCTGGCTAGTATTTGGATGGGAGACTTTCAAGGAGTATCAGGGTTGTGATGCAGAGGCAGGCATTGTTACTGCCAATGGCCTGCCTTGTTGTTTGGGGAAATTAGCTAGGCAGCAGGCAAGGCCACAGGTGTGCAAGGGATCTGTACACCTGTCTATACTAAGGTCCAGCACAGTAGGAAAACTGCAGATTTGATGAGAAAATTAAATAGTTTTTATTAAAGTATTTCCCTAGTTACAAGCACACTAAACGTTCAAAAGAGCAAGCCATTCAGAATTAAGAAAGCAGAGGTGATTGATAGGTGACATTCTGGAGATAGGAAGACTATTCGCCAGGTGGCAACTGAATAGCATTTAGAAATACAGGTACCAACCTGGTGGAACCCACTGTTTCATATACATACCTTTTGCTGGGGTGGGGGAGAAGACTGGAGGTTTTTTCCTCTGAGGGCTGCCTTTTATACCACCTGAAAATGGAGACCCTTTTTCAGGGCTTTTGCTAGCTGTATGGTTCAGAACCAGGAGTGTCTTCCTTGGTCTGGGTTTGTGGGTCTTTGGCTCAGGTTAGAAAGTGGTGTGCCCTTTTGTTGGGGCTACCCTAGGGTAAAGGCAACACCTCTGGGCTACAACATCTCTTGCCTTGAAAACCATTGGGTTGCCATAAATCAGCTGTGACTTGATGGTGTGTGTATGTGTATAAAATTTGCAGTGCAATCTTAAAAGAGAGTTACACTGTTTTAGGGCTGTTGACTTTAATTGGCTTAGAAAGGTGAGGATTGCTTGGTTAGAATTAATTTTTACAATTAAGTTCAAATTAAAAAATGTTGTTGCAATTTAGTTCTATAGTAACCCACATGTACATGTTTGAATAAGTCTCTGGGATGAAGAATTGTGGAGTACAGCATTTACAGTAATTTAACTATGGAACCTAGCCTGATCTCGTCAGATCTCAGAACCTAAGGAGGGTAGGTCCTAGTTAGTATTTGGATGTGAGATCTCCATGGAATATTAGGGTTGTGATACAGAGGCAGGCAATGGCAAACCACCTCTGTTCATCTCTTGTCTTGAAAACGCTACAAGGTCACCATAAATTGGCTGTGGCTTGACAACATTTTTCACCCCACCCCCCACAAAACTATGGGAAGAAACTATATGACTATTAAAATTCTAGGTTTTCAGACACATTTTCTTCTTTTTATAGTTCATTTGATCCCTTTCAGCTGATCCCTTGCTGTTCCTTCACAGAAGAAAAAACAGTAAGTATCATCCTATATATATATAAAAGCTCAGCATATTGGCACTTTCTGGTTTTCCCACTGGCCGTGCTGTGTGCTTCATCAGCCGCCACTCAAGAGTACTCGCATGCCATTGGCTGGGTACTGGGTCCACTCCTCTCCCCCGCCCCCTGCTAGCCTGGCCACTCTTCCCTGACAGAATTAACTGCCAAAACGGCAGTCTCTCCTGACGAAGACATTTCTTCTTGTCTCCTCCATGGCTGGCTGGCTGAGGTGGGCCAGTGGCTGTCAAACTATTCTCTTCTACTCCTGTTGTGCAGCTAACTTTTCCCTCAGTGGCTGTTGCTAGGCAACTAAGCTTGGTTCTGTCAGTAAAAAGAGAGAGGCAGGAGGCCCTTTCCAGGCCTACTTTGGCCTTTATGGGAAACTCATTGGGGCCAGTCCTGACTAGGGTTACTAGCTCCTGGTTGGGAAATTCCTGGATATTTTTTGGTGGAGTCTATGGAAGCCAGAGTTTGGGGAGGGGAGAGGCCTCAGCTGAATAGAATGCCATAGAGCCCACTCTCCAAAGCAGTTATTTTCTCCTGGGGAACCATTGCTGCCAATCGCCATGTGAAGGCTGGAGATCACTCAGAATTAAAACTGCTTTCCAGGTGGCAGAGATCAGTTCCCCTGGAGAAAACGGCTGCTTTGCAGGGTGGGCTCTGGTCCTTTCCACACTAGACCTTAAATCCTGGTTCAACCCTTTCCCTGAACTTACATTCTACACTACACACGAGTTCACCCCTGTAATTATCTCAGGGTATTTTTACATTCTACACTACACTCGAGTTCACCCAAGTTTCGCCCCACACTTGACTTGGGATAAACGGATGCTGTTATAACCAGGGATAAATGCAAGGTATTGTGTTGCAAGTTGAACTTTGATAAACCCAGGGATAAGTGCGGAAAGGACCTTTGTGTCATTATACCCTGCTGAGGTCGCTTCCCTCCTGCTTGGGTCTCCACTGTGGCGAAAGACTACGTCATTATACCCTGATGAGGTGCCTCCTCCCCATGAAAGCCAGTGTGACATAGAGGTTAGTGCTTTGAGCAGGGTCTGCCAGACCCAGGTACTTCCTGTGTAAGCTGCGTAAGCTGCTTTCAGGCTAATCTACCTCACAGGTTTGTTATACAGATCGAAAGCGGGAGAGGAGAATAATGTAAGCTGCTTTGGTCCCCACTGCAGAGAAAGACTGTACTTTTCCTAGGTAGAGGCTTCAGGGAGGGGGGAGGAGATGGAAAGCTGAAATCAGAGGGGCAGATAATGATACGTTGATAGTTGGCTGGGAAGGAGATAGGGTTGCCACCTCCAGGTTAGGAAATTCCTGGGAGATTTGAGGGATGGAGCCTGGAGAGGGTGGGGTTTGAGGAGGAGTGGGATCTCAGACAGGTACAGTGCGATAGACTCCACCCTCCAAACCAGCCGTTTCCTCCTGTGGAGCCATTGTTGCCAATGTCCAGGTGAGGGCTAGAGATCACTCAGAATTACAACTGCTCTTCCAATGGCAGAGTTCATTTCTTGTGGAGAAACCAGTGGACTCTATACCCTGCTGAGGTTGCCACAACAAATTGACACTGAGAGCCCAAGGCTGGGGCACCCACCCAGAGCCTTTTTCTAGAGCTCGTTATATTTATTTCCACAATGGACCTTTCCTAGTGTTTTAATAATAACCAGAGCACACCTTTTTGTTTACTTAAGAGATCTTTCCTTATCGTTTTTATCTTTTTAGGAGCCATTCCAAGTAACAATAGCATCAGAGGCCCTTCTGATTATGGATTTGGTAAGTGTTAATATCAAATTCTTTTTCATTGTTTCAATTTTCTTTATTTTGAAGCCCAAAGAAATTGAATGTTCGACTGCTGAGGGCCACACTTGCACAAAGGTAAAACTGCAGTAGCTGTGTGTGTTATGGTGTCATGACCCCAGGGGGTCTACGCCTTTCGCCGCCGCCACCCCTGCCTGCCTGGGGCCAGGGAGGGCCTTCACGGGGCTTCCTTGCACTCCCGCCGGCCTTGCAGGTCTACTGCCGGGCCCCTCATCGGGCTCGGCAGTGGAGCTGCAAGGCCAGCGGCAGCGGTCAGGACCGTTGGGGGTGGGGTGTGTGGCCTTATGACACACTTCCGGTGATGTCGGGGTGTGGCATATGCTAATGAGTTATGCTAATGAGTTCCCCTAGCTCTTTTTCTACGAAACGACCCCTGACCACTGGTAACAATTTAAAACATGCATAATAAAATTACATTATGTAACCATTAAATTAACACCCCCAAACGTATCTCATTGAAATAAATTAAAAAGTTAAAAAGAGTTAAAATACATATAAAACAAAGTACATACAAAACATGAAACATTGGTTAGGAAAGAGGGATCCTTGTGGGAATGCCAAATGAAACAAAGTCTTCACTGGTGGAAGATGGCAACAGAATAGAACAGATGAATCTCTCTAGGGAGGGAATTCTGGAGCTTTGGTGCCATGATTAAGAAGGCCCTCTCAGAAGGCAGGGGCACTAGAAGCAGAGCCTCAGAACATAACTGTAATGATTGGGCAGGTTCATGAGGGGCTAGGCAGTCCTTCAGGTATACTGGTCCCAAACTGTATGGAGCTTTGAAAGGCAAGACCAACACCTTAAATTATGCCCAGAAGCAAATTGAAAGCTAGTTTAAGAGGACCAATACTGGAGTGATACGGTCCCTGCGACCCCCACGCCATTCAATATCCTGGCTGCAGCATTCTGTTCAATTTGAAGTTTCTGAACACTTTTCAAGGGCAGCCCCATATAATCTGATCTTGATGTAACCAGAACATGCACCATAATGGCTAGATATTTTCTGTCCAGGAAAGGCTGCGGCTGGCTAACCAGTTTAATCTGGTAAAAGGCACTGTTGGCTATGGCTGGCACCTTACTTATCCACCAGTAGGCCTGGGTTGAAGAGTTCACCCAGAGTATGGTCCTGTTCCTTCAAGGGAAGCACAACTCCATCCAGAACAGGTGACACCTTATATTCTGGGTCAGACACCCACCAGTAGCACCTCTGTTGTGTCAGGATTAAGCTTCGGTTTATTAGCCCACATCCACTCCAAAACTGCCTCCAGGCACTGGTTCAGGGTTTCTGCAGTCTCCATGGGATTGGTTGGATGTGCAAGATCGAGCCAAGTATCATCTGTGTATTGGTGACAACACAGCCCAGATCTCTAGAAGACCTCATCCAACGGTTTCATGTAGATGTTAAACAACATATGGGACAAGATCTAATCTTGTAGGACCCCATAGGCCAAGGGGCTGAACAGCAGTCAACCAACAGTACCTTTGAAAACCTATCTTTGAAGTAGAATCAGAACCACTGCAGAATGGTGCCTCCCAGTCCCTGCCCTGATAGGCAGTCCAGAAGAATACCATGATAGATGGACTTGAAAGCTGCTGAGAGGTCCAGGAGAATCAACAGAGTTGCGCTCCCTCTTTACTTTCCCTTTTCCAGTGCATGTCATTCACCAGGGGGACCAAGGCTGTTTTAGTTCATAACCAGGCCTGAAACCAGATTGGAAGGCATCTAAATGATTTGCCTCATCCAGGAAGGCTTAGAGTTGTTCAGCCACCACCTGTTCAATCACCTTGCTCAAGAATGGAACATTTGAGACTGGTCGATAATTAATGATCTCCTGGGTCAAGGTAGACTTCTTTAGAAGTGGACACATCACAGCCTGTTTCAAGGTTGGAACAAACCACCCCTTCTCCTAAGGAAGCATTAGCTACTTCTCAAACCCAGTCAGCCAGCCCCCCATCCCACCACAGAAGATTTAAGTAACCAGGAAGGGCAAGGGTCATACAAGCAGGTGGTAGGCCTCAGACTTCCAAAGATCCTGTTTACACCCTCAGACTAAATAAACTGACTGAATAAACTGAAATGTATCACACACATTTGGACAAGTCAGCACCCTGGCACCATCCAGCCCTGTCACTGCTAACATAGAGTTCTATGTATTTAAAATTATAACATATATTAGAGCAGGGGTGTCAAAATATGAGGGCCATATTTGACATAAATGAGACCTTGTCGGGCCAGGCCATGTGTGTCATAAAATGTAATGCCAGGTAGTTCAGATATAAACTTTATAAAGGAAACAGACAAACACAATTAAAGATTTTCTAAAAACTTGAAATAAAACTTTCTTAAAACATTAGCACTCTTGCAATATTTTGTTTATTGAACAGTCTCTGATAACTGACACCTCTTGCTCTGAATTATTGCATCAAAATCTGAAGACAGTGTCTTTGCTGTAGCAATCTTGACTATGCTGGTCAGGTGTGTAAGTTGCAAACCTACTTTTGATTTATTGACATTCATTATTGAAATCTCATGTTCAGTGCTCTGAGCCTAAGACCCAGGGGAAAACATAAAATGGCTGGGCATTGCGAGCTTGTGTACATACGTTGCTTCATGTGCTATTCAAGAACACATGAAGGTACCATGACACAAACTAAGGGCTATGTGTTTGTCTACAAGTAGTCTTCCCCAGATAAATAACTGTACCTCCTATGAGACAGTGCGGGAATAGAGAGACAGCAATGTATCAGCCTACTATCAGTATCAGCCAATGTACTATCTGGGAAGTCTTAAGTTCAAAATCCCCATTCTACAGAGGAAATATGCTGGGTGAACTTCGTCTGGACACACACTCTTAGCCTAATTCACCTCACTCGCTTGTTGTTATTCCTCATCTAATAGTTCACATTGCTTTCCTACTGAGAAAGGGCATGAATATAGTGCAAAAGAGGAGGGGAACCCAGTGGCACCCAGGACAGCCATGGCATAATAAGTCCAACAAAACTCTGTCTGTCTGTAGAAAGGCATAAAGCTCATACCACGAATAATACTTTGTTGCTTTTAATGGAAATCTCCTAATGCCCCAAATTGCAACAACTGGTTTAATAAAATCTGGGACCACTACATTATGGAGAAGATCACTGACCAACTGCAACAATTTGAAATATATCCTAGACAGTCAAGTTTTAATGAGAAATGGCTCCCATTCTTGGAATATATCCTAAAAACAGAATGCCAACCATACAGTCCAATCTATCTAACTCTTTTACACCCATAAAGCACGCTTTGTATAAGCGATACCACTATAATTTATTCACCTTACTTACCAGCTATGAATTCTTGCATCAACTCTTAGACACCACACAAATTAGTTAAAAGCGTATTACATACACTTATCACGCTGAGTCTAGTTTAAAGTTTGGTAAAAAGTATTTGTTAATCTTATATTTTATAACATATCTATAAGGGTAAAATGTGTTTAGTGATTTTGATATTATGATTCATTCTTGATGTATATCATTATATCTATGTATGTTCCTTTCTATATTGGTGAAAAACAATAAAAAATAAATTGGCAAAAAAATAAAATAAATAAAAGTGCTTTGTATCTCTCCCGTGTGATTGAGGGAACTGGGCAAAGTAAACTCGCTCCCATCCACTGGCTCTTCCCCTCCTCCCCCCTCTCTTCCTCCCCAGGGGACAAGGAGGTGGAGGAGCCTCAGCCAGTGGATGGGAGCGAGGTTTGGTTTAGTAGCTGTGCTGTGCGATTGAGAGAGCCTGGCAAAGCAAGCTCTCTTTTCTTCCCTCCCTCTCCCTCTTTTCCTCCCCAAGGAAGGAGGAGGAGGCTGAGCCAGTGGAGGGAAGAGAGGCTTTGCCGTAGCTCCTGTGTGACTGAGAGAGCCTGGCAAAGCAAGCTGTGATGCAGAAGGAAGCAGAAGAGAGCCAGTTGCTTGTGGGCTAGATACAAGCCCTGTGGGGGCCAAATCCGGCCCACGGCCTGCATGTTTGACACCACTATATTAGAGCTTTGGGGTGGGGGTCCTTAGCTTAATGCTTTCATGCTTACATTGAGCAATATGAACATTTTTCTTGTTTCATACATTCAGGATCTATTTGTACAAGGTAGGAGTCAGAAAAGTTTCTTCATAAGATGCCCTGACAAAGCCTATAGCGTAATGGCATCTGAAAGGTCTAATAAACTGCTGTACCTTGCACCTTGTTGTCTTTTGTTTTCTCCTTTGTATATTAAGGCCCATGAGTCTCAGAGGAGACTCTGCTTTACTGGCTTTTTCATTCCACTTAGCTAATCAAAGATGACTGCCCATTGATCTTCAAAGTACCTAATGGAAACATCTGATTAATTTTTATTAAAGTTGGCCATAAAGCATGTGTTTTGGGTGGACTTAATGCAAATATATTTAATTTTTCATTAATATGTGGAACAGTAAGGTCAGCTGACTTAGGTTTCCAGATGATCTTGCTATAAAATGAGGAGACTCCACATCAAGAGGTGATCTGTGATCCCCCCCCCCATGCATATTAAACTGAGATGTGGGGAACAGCCTTGACTAAGATGCTACCAGATGCCAATATTTGTTGTTAAAGTTTTGGAGAATGTTGCATTCCCTTCTTGGCTAAATTGAGCTACTTTACACAATAGTAGGAGGATTAGTGTAGTGCAAGTGTGTGATGAGTAAATGACCAATGCATGTTTCCATTTCAGGGGACATGTGCTAGCGGTGTCCTTTTTCCACCAGATGCCAAAGTTGGTCTTCTTTGAAAGGTCTTTAAATTATAAGTGTGGTTTGCTCTGCTTCTGTTATTGGCATTTAGTAATGATTTTATTGTCTCTAGACTACCTTTTTAGGTGTTTATTATATCAGAGTTAGTATGTAATCTGTTGTGCTAAATCTATTGCAAGCCCTCACCAGGAATCTTTATTGGATGGAAGGGTGGGATAGAACAGCTTTTGGTTTGCTTGTTTCTTTAATTCACATACTGGCTTGTATCCTGCTGTATGTCCAATTATGGAAGGGTACTTCTGTTGGGGAGCTCAGGGCAGGACTCCCCCCCATCCAAGTCAGCTTTGCTTTCAGATACAAGATACATTATTTTGCTTTCTTATGATCACCAATAAAACAAATTTTAATTAAAGCTTGTTTCTGTGGAATACTAGTGATGCAAACTAATATCTCTGCAGGAGGAAATTAGAAAACGTTGAGTGCAAAGTCAGTGATGGGGTAGATTCCAGGCAGGTCTAGAATCCTCTTGGGCATATGTTTATATTTCCATGTGTATTATACAGTGCTTTACTATTAATCTCAATGGAAAGTAAATATGAAGTAGGGGGGTTGAACTGGAGATAAATTTGAGTTTATCTTCTTTCCACTACATGACTTAGATTTAGGTGGTATGCTGTGTACTAGGTAAAAAAAGTGGTTAGACCGTGTGTGTATATTGAACATGTGAAGCTGCCTTAGACCAAGTCAGATCATTGGTTTGTCAAGTCTTGTCTACTTTTGACTGGCAGCATCCACCCAGGATCTCATGTGGAGGCTTTCCACTTCATCTGCTACTTATCCTTTTAAGTGGAGATGCAAGGGATTGAACTGGGACTTTCTGCAAGTAGAGTAGATGCTGTATCACTAAGCCATGATGCCTCCGTGTGTGTGTGTGTGCGTACAGTTGGTCAGAAAAACTCTTGGGTGCAAGGCTGCAAACTGACATCTTAGCTTTTATATAATAATTAAGTTATTTTATCCTGAACTTTTATGAAGGAGCAGTGGGCTTGAAGAGAGGCTGCCAGACATTGTTTTTACTATCTAAATCCAAGAATTCTAATTAAGTAATATTTTTCTTATATTTTTAGCATGCTCATGTTTCAATGGCTGAAGTAATAGGTCTACTAGGTGGAAGATATTCTGAAACTGATGGAATAGTTGAAGTAAGTGGCATACCTCTTTAATAAGAACTCTTGTTCCAGTCTACCCTGGTCACAAGTACTGTATTAGGCCATGTTCCTTGTTGTGGCCTGATACATTGAATATCCTTGCACAGAGAGAATAAAGAAAAACAGCAGCTTTGTGTCTTGTTGAGATTCCTCTGCATGCTTGTGTTGCACCTGTGGTTGATTTGTGTATATAAAATTTCTAGGGGATACTAGAGAACACTTCAATAAATTTAGTATTCAAGGAGGTACTAATTTTAGAATAATATATTGTACTTAAAATCAATATTAAATCATTGCTGAATTGTAGTGCATTTGTATAACCCTCTTTATTTGTTCCTTACAGATCTGTGCAGCAGAACCATGCAATAGCCTCAGTACAGGCTTACAATGTGAGATGGATCCTGTATCTCAGACTCAAGCATCAGAGACACTTGCTGCTAGAGGTTACAGTATTATTGGATGGTATCATTCGCACCCTGCATTTGACCCTAATCCTTCAATACGAGATATTGATACACAGGCTAAATACCAGGTAAATATGTAATTTGGACTTCTTTTGTGCAAGTGTAAGTTACAACAATTCAAAGCATTACCCAATAAGTTTATTGACAGTTACTTTAATCTGAATAATGAAATGCCAAATGTAAAGTACCATCTTTACGTATAGATGGGGTTATTGGACAATTTTATATTTGTTTTACATAGCCATTATTAGAAAGAGATTAACAAAGAAATGTTTTCCTTCATATAGAACTATTTCTCCAGAGGTGGCTCAATGTTTGTTGGAGTGATCATAAGTCCCTATAATCGAAATAACCCACTTCCATATTCCCAGATTACATGTCTGGTGATCAGCGATGAGAGTAGTTCTGATGGTTCCTACCGTAAGTATTTTTTACAAACTATTCTTTTTTTTTATTTTTCATACGTTATCTGTGTGTGTGAGTGTGTGTGCACCTGGAAGTCATGGCAACCTCTGGTGACTGACCGCTACTAGGGGTCTGGAGCAATGCTCCCTCTAAGCTGTGGAGTCTTGTGAGCAAAAACTCCACTTTGTGAGCTACTGGCATTAAAAGTTGTGAGTGAGCAGTTTGGCTACTGCATAAATTAGTGTGCTCTGGAGCCATCCTTTCTGAGTTAAGACAAAAAATGTGTGAGCCAGAGGCTAAAAAACTGCTAGCTGGCTCACACTAACTCAGCTTAGAGGAAACACTGGTCTGGAGGATATTCAGAGAAGTGGCTGAATACAGCCTGCTCTCGCCTCTGGTATTTCAAGGAGGTCTCCCTTCCAATTACTTGCCAGAGTCGACCCTGCTTAGCTTCCAAGATCTGATGAGATCGAGCTTGCCTGGGCTATCCAGGTCAGGGCCTTTACAAGCTATTCTTAATCATTCTTACTCTTTTTTCATAATTTAAATTGCACTTTGAAATATAGCCTCAAAAGTTAGTCACCATACTTGAGTGACGAACAATCTTTGTAATTAAATGTTAAGATATTTACCATGTAAGTGTAAGGGAAATATACAATCCTTGAACTTCCCATTTTTGTGATTATGTTACTCATGAAAATATATATATATTTTCAGAAATGGAAGAAAGGGGTGGCACTCAACAATACGGAACTGAGGCTTCAGTTGCTACAGAATGTTAAGAACATGAATAGGGATGGGCACAAACCTCATCATAAACCTAATTTTGTCATGAACATCACCCAGTTCATTGTTCATAAGCCTCAGTTCATACGATCATGTCTCCCATGAACCACTATGTTTTCCACAGAGGTCCATGAGGTTCATGATGCCAGTTCGTGAGCAGATACACTGGCACCAATGGATTAATTGTCAAAGCAACAGGGGGAGGATGGACTTCTGCAGCCCTGGAAACACCAATAGTGGTCCTCCAAACACCAAACAAAAGTGGTCTTTGTGGGACCTGGGGGCGCAGAGGAAAGTATAAAAGAGTCTGGGTTGGTGGTGGATTGGAAGGAGATGAGGGAGAGGCAGAGGAGGGGTGCATGCCGGCAGCGGCACAAGAGACAGGAGACAGAGATCTGAGGCTTGGGGAAGAAAGGGGAAGGTGATCTTTTTGCAGAAGTGGTGGGAGCTTTGGGAATCCAGCCCATGGGGCAGTCAGAGGGAGGCTGGCAGATGAGGCCAGGCCAAAAAAGGGGACCCCAGGGGGCTTGGAAGTCAAGGATAGAGAGGAAAGGGGGGCAATGTCTTTTTGATGGAAGCAGTAGGAGTTCTGGGAAACCAGCCCATGGGGCAGTAAGAGAGAGGCCAGAAAATGAGGTCAGGCCAAAAAGGGGGACCCCATGAGGCCCAAAAGACAAGGATTGCAGGGTTGGAAGGAAAAGGGGAGGGTAGTCTCCTTTTGATGGAAGCTGGGGGAGTTATGGAAAACCTGGCCCATGGGGCAGTTGGGGGGGGGCCGGGCGGGGGGGGGGGGGCAGGAGGCCCGGAAGTCCAGGATCATGGGGGGGGAAGGAGGGGGGGCGATCTCCCTTTGGTAGAAAAGGAGAGTCAGCTGGAGACGTGCTGCAGGTTTGGTGTCTCTAGCCCACAGGGGAGCCATTCTACTGCATCATGAACTTCACTAAATGAACTGGTTCAGTAACAAAGGTTTGTGGTTTGTGAGATCCTATTTGTGCCCATCCCTAAACAGGAATACTTTCTGTCATAGAAATCCAAGCTTCAGTTTGGGTCTTTTCTTTGAAACAGGATTTAGGAGCTGAGAACATACCCCTACCCTTTTATGTAATTCTCTTTCCTCCCAACTCTACCCAGGTTCTCTCAAGGGAGTATATCCATGTTGGTATTAATTACTATCAGCAATAGTTGTACATAACAGTTAATTTAGCTGGCGAAGTAGAGCATGTGAATTCAAGGCTAATTCCCTACAGGCCCTTGGTTCTGTTAGGTCCATCCCATTGCGTACTTGCTACTACTTTCTACAGTCCAAACCCAGTGTGCACTTGCTACTACTTTCCACAGTCCTTGCACATAATCCTTTATCTTAAAAAATGAAAAGATTTATCTGTGTACCTGAAGCGGCATAAATTTAAGAAGTAATTTTCTGAATGAGAATAAATTGTTAAACATAAATCATGGAAAACCTCAGCCATAAGGTAATCTTGTTAAATGGGAACCATTAAGCTTTTAAAAATAGAAAATTCTGTGGGTTAGGTAAGAATGCAAGTATTAAAAAGTCACATATGATCTCTACTCTTCTATTTTTAATAGTGTGTGTATTCTGAAATATTTTAATCTGCGTTTTGATCAAACAGCCCCACAGTTTACACAGTACAATAAAAGTAAATACATAATTTATGTGTGCCTAGAGTAATTACTTTTTCTGTGAATCGTGAAGCCCCAAACCATATCAGAAGCTGTTTTTTTTTATATATACAATAAATTTTATTGATATACAAAGAATAGCTGACAAAGTGTACAAACATAGTTTGGTAAAGCAAAACAGTAACAAATAGTGTTCGTATGCATAACAGTCAACGATTACTAACTGTAACTTGTGATCTTTGTAAATTACATATATAAAATATTAAGAAATAGAAGAACCAACTTAATGATTAAGAACGTAAACAAATACCTTTCAGTAGAAATAGGTAAGCAAACGTATGTACTGTTGCAAAACTTTGGTATAAATACAATGGTTACCAGAGATGTAAGGCATCAATTTCTTTAGGAGTGTCATCAAATTGTTGTAAGTATTCCAATATAGGAAACCAGATAGAAACAAAGGATGAGGAAGTTGGGATCTTGTCAAGTCGCGTAAGCTGTTTTTGAAGGTTTTCCCAGTTGCAGAAACTATCTGCCATAGGCCAGGTAACTGCTGTGTGGAATTTTCACAGTTCTTTAGATCTTGGCTTTGGTTTGAGTTCTAGACATTGTCCATGGAACATTTGTGGCTGAGGGTTTGTGCTTTAAACAAACAAACAAACAAACAAACCCTGATTTTGTAACAGAAACTATTCTTGTCTATAACTTAACTAGATGTACCAATAGTCTGATAGTATAGATCAACTTTGGGTGTTCCTATTCTTGTTGCTATGACCACAATGTAAGAGTTGAAGAATTAATTGCAGATCAAAGAAGTAGTACATATACTAGACAGTGTACTTTATAATGTGTTTTAATGGTTTTCAGGCTTGCCATACAAGTTTGATGCTCAACAGATGTTGGAGGAACCTCAGTGGGAATTAGTATTGGAAAAAACACGATGGATCATTGAAAAATACAGAATGTCTCATAGGTATGTGGCTGTTCACATTTCAGAACCCTTTCCATAATTTTCAGACTTTTCTGTATGATCTGATAATAGTATTGACATAATTCTTTCAATAGTTCTGTGCCGATGGACAAAATCTTCCACAGAGATTCAGATCTGACCTGCTTACAGAAGGTAATAATTGCAAATTATTTGTTCCATATCATTCACCAGAGGAGTGTAGTTGCAATAAAAATTATTGCCTGTTATCGATGTTCGGAAACATCATTGTGAGTTCGATCCAGTGGTAATTTTCTGTTAATAAAAGGAACATCTATCAATGTAGCAGGACCCTCAGGAAGAGCAGGGGAGGATTGGTGGTCTATAGTGGTAGGAGAAGATCTGCTAAATGCACTTCCCCTTCTACTTGCAGAAAATTACCACTGGATACAGCCCCTATATGTATGTACTGTTAATACAAATTCAGAGAAATATGTAACAAAACTGTACATCTTTGCCTATGCCATGTGTATTCTTCTATGATAGAATTACTTTTGTGTCAGATTCCTAGGTTCTACTGGATTCCACCTTTCTGTATATGTTTGAAAACTGAAATGTCATGTTTACCTGGTTGTAAGAAGCTTTAAAACAATTGGGAGAAATTGGACTAAAAGCAAAAAACTAAAAAGAAACTATTAGCCATCAGGGTTTTATTTTGTTTTTTTGCTTCACAGTGACTTTGCTTGCAAACATCCCAGGTCCAAAACTAACCCTGTTAGTCAATGGGATACATAGCTATAAAGCTAATAGGGTCCGTTGTAAGACCTGTACCATGTAATTATTGAACAGAAACTTAGTAGAGCCTATGAACACCTCTGTACACAATTGAAGGGTAGATTTGGATTGAAGAAAGATGTAGTTTGTTGAAGAGTAGCTATTACTTCGGTCATTACTTACAGAGTCTTTGCAAAGCCATTGACATTTGTCTGAAAATCATGATTCCTTCTACAAAAACTATAAGGTGCATCTTATAGAACCACAGAATATGTTCAATGCAGAGATTTTTGTGCCCCCTCCCCAGCTATTGCTAAGGGCTAGAGCACCCTCAGAAATGGTGTAGTATGCAGCATGAAGGACTGCAGCCAGGAGAAGTTGATATGTTGCTGCCCCTATGTCTTTGGTGAGCTCTTTGACTTGCACAGGAGGATGGAGATAATTTCTGGCTACAGCCCCTTCCCCCTGAACATCACTTTGTGCAATGTTCTTGAAGGTCCATGACCCTCAGGAGCAGTTGGGAGGAGGCAGCAATAATTCCTTCCATGACATCACTGCATCTCCAGTTCTGTAGGATCCAGCCCATTTTATCTCTCTATATTTGTAGTATTACAGGCTTCTGGTTATTTGTAGCCAGGGTGGATAAAAGTCAATGTTGTTGTGGTTTAAAATGGATTTTTAAAATTTAAATCAGATTTTATGGCTTTAAATCGGATTTTTAAATTTAAATTGGATTTTTTAAATAAAATGCTTTTTGAGGGAAAAATCTATCTAAACATAGATTTCTATTTAAGATACATTATAGTCCAAAGATTTAAAGGGTCTTTTGCAAGCCAAGCATATGGCCCACAACCACCCCTCTCCCCTCCTCCTGCTAGATTTAAGGGCCCTCCAGCTGGTCGGTGAGCCAGGTAGTCCCCACCTTACACAATGATTTCATAACTATCTATTTCAAGTGGTAAATAACCAGTCATTACTTTTCTGATATAACTAAAACTAACCTGAAAAGCTATTATACTAAAATGAAACCTTCATCTGGGTTGCAAATATAAAGGCCAGCAAGAATGGGCCTTCATGTAGAAAACCATAATTTAAATCAAGTCTTAACTGACTAGTGATTTAAATCACAATTTAAATCCATTTGGTTTCAATCAAATCCACCCTGTTTGTGGCTATAGCTTTTCAGTTGAGAGAAACCAGCACTTTGGGTAGATGGTGAGAAACCAACTGCATCATAGTATGTATACTAGCCCTTAAAATGTTCTGACTAGTCACAATTGACTTCTTGTTGCCTTTCTTCTTAAACATTATTTAAGCAATGTGTGTTTTTTGTATTATCCTTCAACTATAAACTAGCTGTTGGAGTGTATGAGGAAGACTCTGGATCATGTGGCAAACAGCTTCATTGCTGAAGAATTCTTGGCTCAGATAGAAAACTTATTCCTCTCAAACTATAGTAATAAGAAATGGAATAATACTACCGAAGAGAATAACATGTGTCCAACTGACCTGCCGACATGATGGTGCTGAAAAGAACAATTATTTGCTTTCTAACACGTTGCCGTTCTTGTGACAACATCCAGTGTTGCTAAAGAAAATGATTTGCACTGAAAGACAATGTGAAACAATCATGACACTCCACCAGATCTCCAACGTACTAATCTTTTGAAACTATGGTAGTACTGCGGGCATGTATATGAAGTATTTGGCATTAGTAAGCTACCTTATATTGATTGCCCAGAGTAGCTAAAGCGATACTGTACTATTTGGACCAAGAGGTCAATGTTCATATTGTATTTTACCTAGCATACATTTGTCTTTAAGGAACATCACTGTATAGTACATTTTGGTGTCTAGTATAAGATGTTTCTGTTAGCAAACACATTGATCATATTTACAAACTAAGCAGTATTGTATATTGCTAATAGCAGGAAGGGAGCGAAAGCCGTTTTTAAAGCAGTTGTAACCGGCATAATTAAGATGGAGAATATGAGGTTCAAAGTAGATGTGTTGTTGGGAGATGCAACTCTCATGGATTTCACTAAAAAGATAAATAGCTGAGTTGCCTTTGGATTGAGATGATGGCAAAGATAAGCGGGGAGGTCTTTTCTCTGTTCGTTTTCCTGACTTCAGTTGGGGCCCTCTGGGCATGTAATTTGCCCTGGGGGGGAATTATAGGTAATTTGCATGATGACTCATGTTTTTCCTCCCTTGCCCACACATTGCAGCTCCAGCCCAAACTTGGTGTGTCTGTAGCTGCTGTTCATTCATGGGGAGAACCAGTGGTGGCAATCAATTCACAGCTGTCCCAAGGGCAGGCCCTCAGTCTTGGCCATTTCATATGCACCCAGCCTATGCAAAAGCATTGTAGTTCACTCCCTGCCCCCCCAAATTGAACTGGCAAAATAATATTGGACTAAGTCCCCCGAACTAAATTCCGCCATCTGAATGAATTGTACAAATCTGAAAAAACTTGTCCGGGGAGTAGGATGTTCTTCTGATTTGTCAAGAGCTAAGGGGGCTAGGAATAGAGATCCAATTACCAGGAGTTGAGAATATGCCCCAGACCCCTGGAATCCCAGACTCAGAAAATTCACAGGACAGAAAAGAACAAGCCTCCCTCAAGTAACCATTTTAACCCAATAGAACCTGAGCTTTATGTGCTAATGGGCTGCATGTTCCATATAAGCTGTTATAGCTTCAGTTACAGGTGCAGTTTATGTGCCCTGCAAATTGGGCATCTTTCAGTTAACTTGACTTATTCATATGGGCATGTGTACCAAGATGTTTCTCAGTGACTTATCAGAATCTAGTTTGGCCTATTAATGGTATTCATTTGCAAGTAAGGGCCTCTTGATTCTAGTGTGCTAGGGAAACCTGCATTTGTTTTGAAATTTGACCTATGTTTTGATGCAGTCTGTTTCCATTGAATTGATTGTAACCCCTCATTTATTTAAGAAAGACTCCTGCAAGGTCATTACTTTAAAAATCAGAATCATAGCTTAAGTTGGGGACACTTTTGTCATAATTGTATTGCAATTTAACAGTATTATTGAATAATATATACATTACATTGTAAATATGTGTAACAATGGTGTAAATAATGTGTATTTGTACAGAAATGAATTACTGACTACTTGACCCTCATGTAAAGTACAGTACAGATATATTTACCTATGACATGTCTCTACCAAAAATAGGGAAGGCTTGTCTTGAAATAATGGAAATAACTTTTCCTGGCAGCACTGGCCCTTCAATAAACGATGTGAAGGTATTGAAAATATTGTTTTTGTTTCAAATAATTCCTTTTATATATCAAACTGAAACTTTGAGCATGAAGGGGGTATTGAACAGGACAGGTTCCTTGTTTTGTCTCGTATTTGCATTTAAGAGGCCAGTTTTGTACTCTCTGTTTAAGGGCATGCTATCACAAAGAGCTTTAGCTACAGTTAAATAAAGCAGTTCCAAAAATATGCTGTTTACTGTCAGTACTGTAAGTTCTGCACACTTTGGATCAAAAGCCTGGTGATCGTACCTTCTGCTCTTGAAAGCGGACAACTTGGAAAGCTTTAAAAGGTGAGTGGACAAATTCATGGAGAACTGGGTTATCAGTGGCTACTAATCAAGATGGATATCTGTTTCCTCCAGTACCAGAGGTAGTACACTTAGCTACTCCTAGAGGTAGCTGGTTGGCCACTGTCGGAACAGAAATCTGGGCTACCTGGGCCTTTGGTCTGATCCAACATGGCTTTTATGTTCTTACTCAGAGCTATGAAAGGCATCTTTGAATGGTAGGTAATTCATTCCATTAGGAGGAACTGCAGGAACAAAGCACAGTTTCCTGCAATCATCAGGGAAAGGCATCCTCCTCCTAATAATTCTAATAATTCCAGAGCAGGAAACTACTGGTAATCGACGTCTACCAAGGTAGTTATAATATACTGATTGCTTCAGTCTGGATAGAGATTGCAAAAGGAGGCCATTCATGTATGTATACATTCTCGCTTTAAGTTCATCTGCCTCTTGAAATCACACATATGATGCCTTTGTCCTCAAACTTCCTGTCTCTGGCAGTGGGCTCACCCTGATAGTTCATTTCCTGCCTAGGATAGGAGCACAAGTCTCAGAGGAGCTTTACTAAATAGTTTACCTCATTTGTTCTAGATTCAAATGGGTAGCCATGTTGATCTGAAGCCATAAAACAAAGTTTGAGTTCAGGGGCACCTTTAAGACCAATAAAATTTAATTCTGGGTATAAGTATTCATGTGCAAGAGTTGCTGAGGCAATAGCTAACTGCATCCCGTTTCCTCTCCTCCCTGGAGTATGGAGGCCACCCTGCAAATTCCTATGAGGGGAGAAAAAGTCAACCTTTTCTTCCAAAAAGGATGCAGTGTGGTTTGAGTAGGAAATATGGGCTAGGAAATCAAAGTACCAGGCACTGAGGCCACTACTTGGGCACATGTAAACTACAGGGAGTACCCGGTTAGACAAGAAAATATGCATAGCTACACCTATACAATCGGTTCCCCTACAATTAGGATGGGGCAAGATGTCCTCCCAACCAGTGTTCCTTCTAAGCTGAGTGTGAGCCAGCTCACAGTTTTTTAGCCTCTGACTCACACATTTTTGTCTTCGCTCAGTAAGGATGGCTTCAGAGCAAACTAATTTATACAGCAGCCAAATCACTCGCTCACAACTTTAATGCCAGTGGCTCACAAAGTAGAATTTTTGCTCACAAGACTCCACAGCTTAGAGGGAACATTGCTCCAAACTAGTATCCCAAGTCTCTAGGAGGGCCTTAATTGCCAGGATTTATGATGTGGTCCAGAAGGCTTAAATACAATGGAGTAGGAGGAAATCACTTGAGCCTCTTCCCCCATTAAGTATCTCAGGTGTTCAACTTTTTACAATCCAGGTTTGACCAACAGTTTAAGGCAGACCTAATCATAGTCCAACCTGTTGATGGCATGCCTTTATTGCAGCACCCACACATAATCCATTTTCTTAAGGGAGTTAACTAGTTAAGTCCTCCTGTAATAACATTACTTCTTGTCCTGTCACCACCACATTATCTTATTTATTGGCTCTTACTGAGCCTCTGTTTGAACCTATCAGGGATGTTCCCATTAAGATACTGACTCTAAAGATCTTCCTGACAACTGGTAGAATTTTTGCTGACAAGACTTCACAGCTTAGAGGGAGCATTGGTCATGGCATCCATCCCCATCACTCTCTGGCAAATAGAAGGGGAAATCATGGCAGCAGTGACAGACTGCAGCCATGAAATTAAAAGACGCCTGCTCCTTGGGAGGAAAGCTATGGCAAACCTAGACAGCTTAATAAAAAATAGAGACATCACCCTGCCAACAAAAGTCCATATGGTCAAAGCATTTGTATTCCCAGTAGTAATGTATGGCTGTGAGAGTTGGAACATAAAGAAGGCTGAGCACCAAAGAATAGATGCTTTTGAATTATGGTGCTGGAGAAGACTCTTGAGAGATCAAATCAGTCAATCCTAAAAGAAATCAACCCTGACTGTTCCCTGGAAGGCCAGATAATGAAGCTGAAGCTCAAATACTTTGGCCACCAAATGAGAAGGGAGCACTCACTGGAGAAGACCCTGATGCTGGGAAAGATTTATGGCAACAGAAGAAGGGGATGGCAAAGGATGAGATGGTTAGACAGTGTTATCGATGCAACGAACATGAAATTAAGCAAACTCCGGAGGACAGCAGAAGACAGGAGGGTCTGGCATGATGTGGTACATGGGGTCGTGAAGAGTCGGACTCGACTGTGTGACTGAACAACAACAAGTGATTCAAAACAACAAGTGGTTCAGTCAGAGTAAATCCACCAAACATAGGAACTGGTGTCAGATTTCTCATGACAAGATGCCCTCCCTCTTAGAATGAGAGCAGAACACTGGACTTACCATGAAGGCTCCACCTAACCTGGGGTGGGATGCAACGTTCCCTCTAAGCTGTGGAGTCTTGTGAGCAAAAATTCTACTTTGTGAGTCACTGGCATTCAAGTTGTGAGCGAGCAATTTGGCTGCTGCATAAGCTAGTTTGCTCTGGAGCCATCCTTCCTGAGCTAAGACAAAAATGTGTGAGCCAGAGGCTAAAAAACTGTGAGCTAGCTCACACTCAGCTTAGAGGGAACACTGGTTGGGAGGGCATCTTGCCCCATCCTAATTGTAGGGGAACCAATTGTATAGGTGTAGCTATGCATATTTTCTTGTCTAACCGATTTCTGTGCTGTTTTTCATTCTTAACCTTACTTGTTGGCCTTTGTATATTGGCTGTTATTTTGAAGTTGTTTTTACCTCAGTTATCTCTAGTTATGGCTTGGGAAATTCCCAAACTGAGGATCAGAGTGAGCTCACTGCCAGAGACTGGAAGTTTGAGTTGACATGCCTTCTGACTGATCAGTGGGAATCACCCATAATATGATGCCCTCCCAACCCCAACAGTAGAAAGAACTTTCACAGTAAGTCTATGCCCTATAAAAGAGCAAGAGTCCAGTAGCACCTTAAAACTAACACAATTTGTGGCAAGGTATGAGCTTTCCTGAGTCACTGCTCACTTCTTCAGATACAGCTAGATATGAGTCCATCTGTCCTTATATTTTGGAGAGTGGAGTGATTTCAGATCCTGAATGACAATAGCAGGCTTGATTGGATTAGGTGTAATATGCAGAGGGGTAGTAGGTGTGGAGAAATTGGTAAGAAACAGGAAACCTAGGTCTTGATTCAGTCCAGGAGGATGCATTCATTATCAGCTTCATTATCATTGCAGTTCAGCAGTTTCTAATCTCCCTTTGAAATTTCTTTGTAAGAGAACTGTTACCCTCAGGTCAGCAACTGGATGTCCTGGAAGGTTAAAATGTTCCCCCACTGTTCTTTTTTAATGTTGTGGTGGAGGACCAGTGGGGGAACATTTGGAACTGACAATGCTCAAGACAATGCATCCTCCTGGACTGAATCAAGACCTAGATTTCCTGTCTCATTTCCAGTGTTGATTTCTCTATGCCTACTACCCCAAATCAGTCAAGCCTGCTATTTGTCATTTGCCTGCTATTGTCATTTGGCATCTGAAATCACTCCATTCTCTAAGATATAAGGACAGATGAACTTACATTCCAGCTGTATCTGAAGAAATGAG